TAACTTTCGAACGATTTATACATGTTCATCACCTCTTACTAAAGAGTGAATGAGAAACTACTCACTCTTCATGACTTTGGTAAAGCTAAAAAAGTGAGTGATTCTCATCTCTCCAAGTAGAGGAGTTATAAGGGAAAACACACTACACAAGGAGCCGATCTTCGACGAAGAATGAGTGAATCATGTTTCACCCTTCACGACTTTGGTAAAGTTCGAGAAAAGTGAAAGAGTTCCACTCCTCTAAGGGAAAAAAGGAAGCTCAAACAATGGAAGCAAATGAAACTAATAATGAAAGTAGAAGAAAGTTAGTCACTTTTGAAGGGTTTCCTCCTCAACCAAAAGATGATCTATCTCCCTCTATGTCTATCTATTTATAGCTAAGTGCAAGTGTGTGCAAGTGTAAGTGTAAGTGTAAGTCTAAGACTAACTCCTAAGTTCTCCTTCTTTGAAGCTCCCACAATGGGAGTATTTATAGGCAAGGAGGGGGGCAAGGAGTGTGAAAGAATAGTACAAGATTTTCAAAGTCCAAGTGAATGCCTCAAGATTCGGATAAAAAATCAATCACTCTGCAACTTGTCTGGGGATAACATTCAAACGTTAGATGGCGTTCAAACGTCGTCTCCTATCTTCCTTGATGGACGTTCGAACGCTGGATGGAGTTTGAACTTCCTACTCAAGTGGCTTGTGTTCTTCTATGAGAGTAACTGCAACATGTCATATGCCATTGTCCTAGCACTTAGTAGTCTGGTCCTCAAATGATTCCAGGCAACGTTTGAATGTGAATTGACGTTCGAATGTGGTACTCAAGTACCTCTTCATTTTTCTTCTTAGGGAATAGCTGCAACACGCCACATAACATCACCTCAGCAGTCTGGTCCTCAAATAATTCAAGAGGACATTCAAACGTAGATTGACGTTCAAACGTTTATGTCTTGTTTCAAACTTCTCCAATTTTGTTCTAAAACATGTGGATGTTGCATGAAAGTTTGGTGTCCATTGACTTTAGGCCCTTGTACAATCTTCCTCTTGAAATGTCATCATTGAAACTCTATAAAAGCATAATTCGTCTTAAAAAGGCATAGCAAGTTGTTAATTTTAACTACTAATCACCAATCATCATACAATGGTCATGATTTACCACGCATCCCCTTCGCATTCTTGTTTTTCTACATTATCAATAAAAAAATTACTAGGGCATAACTTATACAAGTTATCTTGGTTTACTATTATTAATGGATGCAAGGGAGTAGTAAAACCTTCAGGTACTCCACCCAGATATCTTCACCATACACATCCACTTTCTTGTCTTGATTATTCCATCCAAAACCTGATGTGCTTAGCATTGAATACAAAGAGTTGTACTGCTTTTTTCAGGCTTTGATTTTCGACTCAATATGTGGTGAGGTCTGAAGGTCAGATGCTGGGAATGCATCCTTTATGTTGTGCTCTAGTGTTTGAAGATAACCTAGGTTAAACGTGTCATTCTGACACTTTCATCTATTGATACAGAGTTCTTTCAAAGCTTGAATAAGAGTAGCCTCCTCCGCAGCAGTTTATGTTCGGCGTGGACCACGCTCTACTTGGCTGCTACCACCAACACTTGACATGCCCTACTTACATACGTACATGCCAAATACAATTAAATAACTAACAAACACCTGATTCATATATTAGTTGGATAAAGTAATCATAAGAAAACACAAATAGTTCGCATAAATTCAACAACATAATTGGTCCGTTGCTACAAATGTGGTCAACCAATTAGCCACCCCTACTTTCACTCCATTCATTGTACATATCATTAGCTAGTTGGTTCCTAAACGCAGTCCATTCATTAGATGTGCCAACCATGTCGATCACATCCGACTCTATATCACCATGACCATTGGCCAGAGCATCTTATGAAAACTCATCTTCCAATGGATCGAACGCCATTTCATTTCTAACCAAATTATGCAACAAACAACACGCATCAATGATTCAATTGTGTGCGTGTACGGGGTAGTGGCAAGGCATCCTTAGGATTGCCCAACAATTTTTGAGTAAGGCAAAACAACATTCTATAACATTCCTCTCCATCGAATGCCTCAAGTTGAATAGTTCCTCAGCATTACCAGGTGCAGTTGTCCCTTTGGCCCACTGGTGCACATGGTATCTTTGGCCTCTAAATGGAGCTAAGAACCCTTCGCCATTAGTGTTACCAGCATCCACTAAGTAGTAGGTGCCTACGTAAAAATTATGGTTTCGTAAGAACACCACTAATAACTGTCAGAGAAATGAGGTTAATGGTCATATATAACTTACCGCGAGCCACTTTCAATCCATTCCTCCTCGTTACCGCATCTCAAAGTATCCTAGAATTAGTAGCCAACCCTTCCGAACCGGTCAAGACATAAATGAATTTCATATCTTGGGAGCACACACCAAGTACATTTGTTGAAATGTCACCGTGTCTACTCCTATATCTTGCTTGGTAAAGCATTGGTACTCTTGCTCTAACGTGTGTGTCATCTAGTGCTCTTACGTAATTCTACAACACACATAACGAAACATATTTAAGTCAACCATTACGTACATTACATTCTATCCAATAACATTAAACAATTATATAGTTCCCTTACCTTAAACCACTTCCACTTATTATCTGTACAGTTGTCAGTAACTAGGTCGGGTGTCTTCAATAGTACACGATGTAACTTAATAACTATTTTCAACGCAGCATTAAAATGCCTGCTTACAATTTCACCAGATCTAAGAAAGTGAACTTTATTAGCCTATTCCTCATATCGTGACCCAATATATTTAGGAACATAGCCACAATTTCTTCAACACTTAAATATCTCGTGCGATTTAACCCACCAACTTGTTCAACCAAATTACAAAGAACGTGAAATATGTGTCTACCCATCCTATGTTGTTCTATGCAATTGATTTCACTCTCACCAATTAGTCGATGCAAGTGTTCAAGTTGCAATTGATTTATACAAAATGACGTTGCTGGTTGAGATTTTGATTGTCTCTCCTTTTCCCGTAACACTACTATAAGAACAACAAACAAATAGAACATTATTATCATCTCTCTTCTCGTTCTATCCACCAAAACAATCAATACAACGATGTCATTAATACGGTTTGACATTTTTTCAGCTCAACGCTCTTGTTATTTCATGTACAATAATGAAGTTAATATCAAATGTCATACGCATATAGCACACTTTAAGCAAAGCACAAGCAAAAAGAGTTTGATATACACTACTTTCTGGCATTTTTTTACAAGATAATTTACATTATTTCCAATATTCTAAGCTACCATTTTTGCCTCAATATATATATGAGCAATTTCAGAATCAATAGAGGGTGAAACGGAAGTAGACTGTGTGAAAAATTACCCATGTCATTCAATGTTCTTCCAAACTCACAGGACCACATGGCATCATAATACCACATTGCAGCAATTCATTTAGGAAAAATTAATGTTTCCAAGTTTTAGAGTGGGAATCAAAGCATTTTTTTTTAGGTCTAGAAAAAGATGGCTCAGGGAGTGAAACCAATGGGTTAACTATGTAAATCCAATAAATCAAACGAAATTTGGAAAGTGAGCACCAAAACAATCACAAAGATTCCTCTAGAAAACCAAAATAAGCATGCATTCTTGCTGAGTAATCAATTATCCAACCACTGATTACTTATCAAACCTAACCACTTATATCAAAAGGGTCATCAAAAGCCACAAGAAAATTCAACCACACAGTAGACTTGGTTCCCTGTCTCCTTAGAACTCTGGGATAGAGAGGTACAAGCCTAAAAATAGATCTGTTCAATTAAGGTTGTGGAATCAAAGCATTTCATGGAGTCATTTTTTATAGTTTCGGCCAAAAACGAACGAAGCCAGATCTGGGTGTACCTCAATGACCTAGATCTGCTCACGTTCGCTACGGAGAGAGAGAGAGAGAGAGAGAGAGAGAGAAGCTTAAAGGATACACATCGTAGGATCTGAACTCAAAAGCACAAGATTGAAAAAAGGAGACATATTTTACAAGAAGGGAAAAAAAAAAGGAAGAAACCTTTGTCCGCAGACCGGCTACAGGTTATAGCGAGGGGAAGAGAGAGTAGAGATCATACCTTACCTAGAATGATGTCTAGAAGGTGGAGAGGCGCAGATCAGCAGGTCCACTGGTCCAGCATTCGTAAGACTATCAGTTCTGAGTGAAAGATTGAGAGAAAGGCGAAGTGAGTGAGAGACTGAGAGTGATAGACTAAGAGAGGTAGATATGCAGAGAGTCAATGAGAGTGAGAGTTAGTCAATGAGAAGAAGCTTACCTTGGTTGTAGTCGACGATTGCCTGTGACCTGCTTGGAGTTGAGCAGCTTGGACGAAAGTGAAGGATTCTTCGATAGGGTGTAGCAAAATATCTAAGAGAGAGAGGGGTAAGCTCAATTTTTTACCTGGTAGGTGAGATTGTAACCTAAAGGAAGGTTGGGTTACAATTAACCCATATACATTGGATAATTTTTACTATAACATCCGAGTCAAAGTTTGACCTGAGATTTATATCCTCTCAGCGTTTTTCAGATGCCAAACAATGAATATATAAGAGCTACTTCATTGTTAAGCTATTCCTATGACTCCTAGCCCACCTTAACCCCCTACCCAAGCACACCCTTAAAAGATAAATGCTTTCCATAGATTGCCAATATGCATTCTGCAATTATTGCTACGGTAACACTTTGAAATTGGTCAAATTTGGACTAGCGGAGCTAGTACACATTCTGTATAATTGCCATGTAAGACATCCGCAGCCTCTGTTTCCCCCTTCTTATTTCATTTAATGACATTTTACTACCCACAAGTTCTATATGATTACCCTTTGCCCCCAAGTAAAATAATCATTTTATGGCAACATCGAACCAAAAGTTAGCAGCTTGGGTTGAATAAATTTGGGCAAAAATCACGACATTAACACACAAGTGCAATTCAAAACTCTTCCATGTGGAAATATAGCATTCTAAAGATAAAAAGATTTTTACAATAAATCTAGTTACCACAGAGCAATAGACAGATTCAAGTTAATTCGACGCTTTTCCAAGGAAGATCCAGAACAGTCGTTTAAATTTGGTCTTGAGTATGATGAAATTGCTTCGCTGATATCACTTGTCAAAGATGCATTACTCTTCTGAGTGAAGGGATGGTGCAATGCTAGAGACAATGACAGTCCACAAGCATCAACTTCTTCATTTTCATTTTCATCACGTCCAATCCCTGAGTTCTCAAATTTGCATTCCTTTGATAGTGCCCCTTTTTCATCTTCGTGCTCAGCTATCTGTGGCCCAAAAAGGGTTGGCAATAATCACTACATTAATGCTAATATGCAGGCAAAAAGAAGTGGTGATTGTGCGGACAATCATGTATTGACGGAAATTTTGTATCTCACATTAAGAAGGATTTGTGAGTATCCACTAAGCAGATTGAAGAAGAAACAATTCTTCAGTAAGTGATGATTGGCTGTTTATCAAGTTCAAAGTTTATAGCTCTATTTACCATTAAAACTTAACTCGGGAAATTATTTCCATGACACAGCTTAGAACCAAATGCATATATAGCATGGAATGGAACCAATGTCCGACTCGCTAAAACACCAGCTACCAAAAGTGTCGGCTTTGCTTCAAAGTTTTTCACACAAGGCAGGATGGATGGCTATGTTTGATTTAAAAATTAAAATTTTAATTTGAAGCTGTGCGTATATTTTTACAGTACGCAAAACTTATAAGGAATGGCAGAAAAGAGAAAGAAGCCAAAGTTCTAGACGAAATAGGGGGGCAGCTCTATTACTTGTGAAAGAGGTGGTCTACTGCCATAAAGGCTCTGCTATTCTCTTCCTACATAGGTACTGTACTACTCTTCTAGTGCATTAAAGAACCATTTTGGATTTCAAGAGGGGACCCCATCCCATCCCCGTTTATCAAATCAAAAATAGAATGGACCACAAGTTGCATAATTTTTCCAGTCAAAGCCCCATAGGTCCACAGCCTTTTTCTCAAGGAACCAACCAGTGGAAACTAGGGCAGGTAAATTTAGGTACGACCCGTGAATGCTTATAATTGTTTTGAGTATAGTTTTAGAAAATTTGGGTGATAAATAAAGACACGTTACATCTATTAAATAAATAAGTCTATATGAATTCTGCTAAACACAACACAAACCCACTAAACATGGCTTATATACCTTATGAACCATACCAAACCCGATTATAAATGGGGATCAGGTTGAGCAGATCTGCACATTGACAACCCGGATGCTTAAATACCACACTAAATTTCTTCCCGTGTGCGTTCTTTGTGTTAAAAACATGATTTGCTGCATTAATAAAATCAGACGGAACCTAATTTCCTCAACCAGCTAGAAAGTTTGAAAAGCTGCATAAAATCCTTCTTAATTTCCTCACCAACCAACAATTTTAGGAGGAAGACAACATTTTACGACTGCATCCCACAAAAACTCCTTAATCATTTATTTATATTTTCTAAATACAGTATTCATGCCACTTAAAGATCCTTACCTAAATTTCCACAATTTTTTTATCAAGGACATTATTTAATCATAAATCTCATCCCATTAGTCATGCAAGCATTCTCTGGTGAATATAGACCAAGAAAAGGCAGGCTACATGCCTATAGTTGAAACTTGAAGGAATCCTAAAAAAACCAACATTACACTCAACCCATTTAAAAAGCTGTTCAAAAGGAAAATGTATGAGAGAGAGAGAGAGAGATGTTGTACCTTGAGGAAATCAGATTCTTCCACTGCATACACATTGCCAAGAGGAGAGAGGCCGTGAAAGAGATTCAGGGGCAGAGATGAGAATGTAGACATTGAAGCTGCTTCATGGGTCTGCCATCTGAAACCCTTCTCATTCGTCTCCTTTATTCCACTTTTCTCAGCCATAGTCTGCATATAATCATCACAATAGTACGGATTTGGGACTGTCTGATCAGATATTCTTTGGCTGCATTGCAGGTTCTCCGAGATTGAACTCATCGTCTCGATTCGAGCTCTGAGGACAGCATATGAAACAAAATAAAAAGAACATTATACATAGACAAAATCAAAAACAAAAAGAAAGGATAAGCAAAATGTAAATGCAAATCTTATTTGTTCCTTTCCTCAAAACCTTTCTTGAGATCTGAGAAACTGAAATCCAAGGGCTGAGATTAACCTCACCTTTTTGTTGATGGACTGTAGATGAAATGAGAATCTGACTCTGTAAAGGGTTTCAGAGATGGATGGTAAGACACACTATTTTCTTGATCAACACTCCCATCTTGGTGATCTTCAAGAGACTGTTTTCTTTGCGGGGTGCGACTCTTATCTGCTGTTTGAGACAAAGATAAAAGCAAAACGAGACAACAAAATGGTGGTTACTACTAGAAGAGAAAAGGGTATGCTCTTTTATGCATATGATGTGTGTCTGCATGTGTGTTGACCGTTAACAGATGACAGATGAGAAGGAAAATAAGGCACAACATTTAACATGGTTTGATCTGAAAAAGCATTGGTGTAACTAAGCAGCAAAGATTGGGGTTGTGAGTTTCATTAGAAATGCCAATATTAGAAGATTTGAAAGGATCATGGTTTCATTCTGTGCTCGTCTACTTTGGTTACAAAACAACTTTATTGGGAAGGACATCATAAATGAAGTCAGGTACCAACAAATTTCCAAAAGATTGTCAAGATCTGTAATCATGAACTTTGATTTTGGACATGGATGAGTTCCAAATAGAGGAAACAACGAGTAAAATATTTCTTTACAGAATATACAAAAACACATGGTGGAATTTTGTTCGGAGAAAGTAAAACATGGTGGACCTAATACAACTACAGGAAAGATAACTTCTAACAAAAATAAGAATTAGATATGTGAAAGAAACACACGCAGATGTTTATTTTATATATATATATATATATATATATATATATATATATATATATATATATATATATATATATATATATATATATATATATATAGATAAGTTTTGTGGTTGTTGCCCAAAGAATGAGTTTTGAAAACATACACAACCACGCAGATGTTTATATGCACGAGTTAGACATATGGGATGGTAAGCTTTGGATACCTTGTCTGGTCACATCACTCTTCATGCTTCTATACATCTGTTTGAAACAAAGAAAACCCAAAATGGCAGAAAGATCGAGAAGATCAGAAAAAGGGAGAAAAATTACAAAAGAAAAATAGAGGAAGAGGAATAAGAAAAAAGTAGAGTAGAAATCCTGAAGGGAAAAAAATTGAATCTTAAGTCACCAAAAGATAAAAAAATCCAGATCAGAAGAAAATGAAACAAGAATATGAACCTGAAGATGGCTTTTGACATGTGAAATGGTGAGTCCCCTAACATCCATTAGCTGAAGAACAAGTTTGGGTGTGGCCTCTGCACATCAGAGAGGGAAAAAAAACACCTATTAACATTATACATACCAATAGCAACTACTTATATGAACACCTTTATCAAAACCCTAAAGTGTTTTCGACGGAAGGGGAACCAAAAGACCAACCCAGAAATGCCTTTTACAGACAAAAGTCAACAACTTACTGGCTTGGCCTCCAAGCCTCTCGATGGCATGAACGAAACACTGGTGAAGATCAGGTGTCCATCTCAATCGAGGCACTTTTGATCTCACATACTGCCTCACAGCTCCATTTCTTTCACAATTACCCATTTTTCCTTATGCTTGTGACTGTGTTCCTCCTCAAATCCAACTTGGTATCTCCAAAAACCCTGCTTTTCTCTTCTCGATGAAGTTCTACCACCTGGGTCTTCCCTAAAGCCCCTCGACAAAACCTTTCTATGTCAGCTTCAACAACAAAGCAATTGTTTCTGCCTTTCAAAGAGCTGTTTGTTTTTGGCAATCCCGTCTGAACTGTCTAGGTTAAGAGCAACACGATGTGTTTATGAAGACATATATAAAAGAGACACGGGTAGAGAGAGACAGAGAGAGGAAGCTGAGAAGGGGTCACCCTATGGGTGGTCTGGTGATCCGGTTCTGTTCAACACCTGCAAAGAAAAATTCTCATCACGAGCTTCTGATCCTCTCCCCAACGAAATCATTACAAATACAAATACTACAACAACTGCTGCGCTGCTCCTCCTGCTGCTTTGACTTTTGTTTTCTCTCTCCTTCTCTTTCTCTCTCTATAATTGTAATACGCCAACGTCGTCATGATCACAAAAAGCCCATGAATTTTTCTATATATTTTATACATTTTCTGGGTCAATTTTTATTGTGTACAATTTTTTGAATAATGTTATTGTGATTTAAAATTTTGAAATAATTTATTAATTTAATAATATAATATAAATATTAAATTAGAACCCAGAAAGATGATGTAACCAGGAGAGTCAATCCCTATTTAATGTAGCATAGGAAGGCGTCCGTCGACGGAAAATATAGTAATGACCTTATAATGGTGGAGTTTATTTCAAATTTGTTCCAGGGCATGGCTCTAGGCCCAATTATCGTAAGCAAAAAACAACTAGCATTGCTAAATGACCTGAATAATTTGAATATATATGGTCAGAGTATAAACAATTTGAATACAATTCAACTTAGCTTAAATTTGACATTGATTTTAACTAATTCAAGCTCTTTAAATAACAAAAATGAAGTGAATGTGATCAAATTTTTAAACTCATTTCATAAATAAATTGAATCTGAATAGCATTGACTCGACTGACTAGGTTTGAATAAGTTCTTATTTGTATATACTTTTATTTTTACTACCACACAATCCCTATTTATATTCTCAAATAGTGACAGATCATATACTTCTGCCTTATATTCTTATTATGTAATGCATCTTTAAAAATTTACACTTCTAGGTTTGATTTTATGTTTACTTGTATGTATATTTAAAGATCTTTGTCGGAAAATTGATTCATTTAGTATTGAATATCCAGTTCTCCAGTTAAATTTTATAAATTTTACTTAGAAGTTGATTTCAATTTTAACTTGAGTTTGATTCATATGCTTGCAAGTTCATGTCTTGTTGAGATTGATAAAGAAGCCAAACTTATGACAATTTGGTTAGGCTTCAACTCAAGCTGAACCTTCCCTAAACAAGTAGAATGATTATACCCAAATACCAAATTCAATAAGATCATCTCAATAAATACCCATAAGAACATGTTACATGGTGTTATATTGAATAATAGCTATTACATGTGTTTAAATGCATGAAGCAAAATAAAATTTATTTTAAAATTAACAAAAAAATTTTCTTCTTTTTCTTTAATTATATAATTTAAAATTAATTTCTACTAAATATTATTTACATAATTTTCTCAAAATCTATGACCTCAAAAAAAAAAATTAACATATGTATAATATCATATATGAATAATGTATGAAATAAAAATTATATTGAACCATAAATTAATTAAAAATTAAATAATTTAAATTTAATATAAATGAATGATGTGATAAAAATAAAAAAAAATCTAAAAATATAATTCAAACTTTGAAGTCCTTTAGTATATAGATATTAATGTTGTATTTGACCGAGTCTAAAAACCATTAGAGGTTGTTTGGTAAGGGGGCTTGGGGGACTTGGCAAGGTAAGTTTAGGGAAAATAGTCTAAAGTCCTCTAAAATCTCATTTTTGTATGAAAAATTTAGTTTCGGGTTTTTAAATCCGACCAGTAGTTGGCCCGAAGATTAAACTCATGACAATAAGTTTCGTCAAACCTATGGGGGTGAGTTTGGGAAGATGGGTAAGGGGTTAAGGATCCAACAGACAATTGTATCCCTTAACATATATATGAATTATATTAATTAAGGGTAAAATAGTCATTTATAGGACAAATAGTTGTTTATAATTATGATATATTTGTAAGTCCTACATGTGTATGTGGTGTATACCAAACATGAGTATGAGATTGGATTGAATATAGAATAAAGGAGTTTGAGTTTGAAATCAATCCAAACCCCTATCCAAAATTCATTCAAACAAGCTTTTATAACTTAGGGTTGCATGGTTGGGTCATGTTCTCAACGCAATCATCACCTGATTTGATGCTCATCCTATGATTGAAAATATCAAATTATTATACGAAGTTAATATCCATATAGTTAAATATAAAAGATTTTAAATTTCTCCAAGACATAAAAATATTTTTACTTTCCGCGGTCAAATCATCTCACAATTATATCTGTTTTGATCAAATGGTTGAAAATCATTAATAATTTTTGTTTTTTCACCCAAACACTTACCAGATTAAATTATGACAATCAAACTTTTCGCTCCTTTTCTCAACATTTTTCCTTCCAAAAGCAAGATAACATATGAGAATTAGGGTTCCCAAAGGTTTGATACATAGACGGTTAAGAAATCTAGTAAAGAGAGTGACAATGAGGTCGAGATGGAGAGAGACGTGTTATAATCAATAGCCGAAACTATCTTACTATACTATAAAACAATCAATTGCTGGTTGAGATTTGATTCGATGGTTTCTCTCCTACTTCTATCCCATTATCCTACCTTTCAAGTTACCACATCTGATCTGATAACCATTTTTCCTTTCAAAATTTGGAATAACTACTACTCACTCTCTCTTACACACACACACACATTCATTCATAAGAGGTGATGAAAGATCTATTGTAATGCATAAATCTCTCAGGGACAGAAGACTTTGGGTCCAAAGAAGGAGTGAATTTCAATTTACACTTGATCATGCATCACATAGGGTCAACACTAGTTTAATCCATATGAAGAACTTACCCTTCCCTGAATCCCTTTCTTGGCTGAAAGCTAAAAAAATACCGTAATTTTAATTATAGCCCCCAAACCTTTTCTTTTGCGTGTAATTTTAATTCCATCTAAATCTATGACTTTTTAGTTTTATTATTATGAAAAGATATTGGCATTCATCAGTATCCGGGATCATTTTCAAGTCAAAGGAATGGAGTATAGTGATTAAGATATTCATAGGTGCATGGCTCTTCTTGAGGAAATAAGTTGAAGTTTAATTTAAAAAAAGTTTCGATTTTTTGCCAATTTTTTTGTGTGTTACACAGTACTTTTTGGCACGAGATTTAACTAGGCTTAAGAGATTTTTTTTGTTTTGGTTATACAATTTCTACTGGCATACTAGGCGTTTGTTACATAGTGCTTTCAACTAAAATGATTACTAGTTATTCTAAATTAGAGTTGGGGTTAATATGTTTATTTAATCCAAAATGAGAAAATTGAGGTATGCATAATTATATATAATATGGTTGCATAGGGCAATTTTCTGACAATTCAAGTGGATAGCAGCACCAAGGGTGAAAATATTTGCAAATCATCGGAGAGATAGCGAGGACACATACATGCAACAAAAGAGGGTTAGAAGGAAACTGGATGTGTATTCGACGTTTTTCCTCTGACGATCAATTCAATCTTGTGAATGAGAAAGGGAAACAAAATCACAAGTATGGTGTGGGTTGTGTACCTGTGGTAGTATAATAAGGGGGTATTTTATAGTCAAGGGTGACAATGCACAAAATGGCTTTGCACACCACATGCTAAGTGTAAATAATAAATGCAGTAAAAGTAAAGAGATAATTGGAGAAGACAAGATTTATAGTGGTTCGGTCAACGTGACTTACGTCCACTCTTGAATGACTTTGGTCGCCGGGTGCTTTTATTAGCTCAAGGGTGTGGGGAACAAAGAGTACAAACTTTGAGGGAGAAGAGAGAGTCGTGGTCAAGTAAAGTGCGATACCCCCCAAGTGTTGGTGGGGCGTGTAATTTATAGTGGTCCCCTAACAGATTTGGGCTACTTTACAGCAATTAAGCGACTACTCTGGTGGAGCTCACGACTTCTTCTCAACGGGCGAGGAGGTTGAGGAGCTATCCTTGAGATGCAGTCAAAGATGAGGTGATGATGGACTTTTTCCTCTGCGGTGTAGGTAGGACTCTCATGCTCTCCCTCTTGATGATGTAGCCAAACAGAGAGTTTGACTGGTCTTGGACTATGTTGGGCTTAGTGGATCTTTCATGAGGTTGGGCTCCTCAAATGGGATTAGACTTCTCATATAAATTGAACTATTTGGGTTTGACCCATCAAATGGTACTTGACTTGTGCCAAGAACGAGACTACTAGACAAGCGAGATGTTCTGATGGTGTGTTGAGGTGAGGTTCCGTTGATTCGATCATACATGGAGACGACAGAGGGCTTTATTAACTGCAGGTCAACATCCCTCGAGCCACGCCATTACTGTGCCTTGATCCTCACACTTACAGTTTCTTAGGGAATGGAAACCAAGCTACTATTGTCCATTAATGTGATTGCCTTCGTTGAATTATCTTGATTGGTCGATTCTAACATTTGTTCTTTCGGGGCATATTCATGACCAATCATTAAATGGCAGCTCCATCGAGGGATCATATGATTGATTCAAACATCCAAGATCGGTACTTTTATGAATGTCCTCTTGTAAGTTTCTCGTGTTAGAAACTGTTATTTCTTGAAACATTCACTTTTTCATGTCTTGTCAATTATGTTAGATTGTATTGTAGGCCCCAACTATCGTGTACCATGAATGCTTGCGATCAATGCTCGAGCCCGATCATTAATTGTTCAAAGAATTGATTGGTTTTCCTTAGGCTGAGATCCGTCGGCACTCACCCTCCGTGTCTTCTTTCTTCCATATGTTCGCTCTCCACAAGTTCGTT